CCAGCCAAGAGAACAAAGCATGGGGCATAAAGGTACTGGGACTTCCCTATTCTTATGTTCATGCTTTGCAGACTATGTAAAATTCATATTGAGCAGATTTTCCAAAGTATGTTCAAAACATTTAGCAGGTGTGTCCTTTATCAACAAAGTGAAAGCTAATTTTTTGTGGCAGTGACTTAGTGACAGAATACACAGACACTTAGTGCTTGATTCAATTGCCTCAGCAAAATTCTTTCATGTCATTTCAGGCACTGGGGAGTTTGCATAGGCTTGTCAGATATGGTACCCCAAGAAAACAACGAAAGCTTGTGCCTTTAGCATTTGCGTATGAATGCCATGTGGGAAGTAGTAGGGCATCTCAAATGTCACTAGATGCCTGTGTTTAGGCAACTGAATCAAACTTTCAGTGTTCATATGTTCCCTTAACACTGATTGTCACTGGCAGCATATGAAATAATTCATTTTAACTCTTTTGTTAGTAGGGACATAGTCTTACCTCATTACAGTAGTGCTTTGTGTCAACTTCATTAGGTTTTCAACACAACTTTTGAACACAAGGAAAATTCCAAAACAAATTGTATAAGACCTTAGATAACAATGGCTTCAAAAGAAGGTATTAATCAAGACCTAGCCCCTGGTGCCTGAATAACTTTCAAAAGGAGACAAACAGTGTTTGTTTTGCTTGTATTTCTCAGATCAGACTGTTCAAACTGAACTTATGCCTGGGGCAAAATGAGCTTAGAAAAAAGTTGAAGCTGAGTTTAAAGAAAAAAAAAAAAGAAAAAAAAAAGAAAAAGGAAGGAAGGAATGAAAGAAACAGAAGGTCTTGTAACACAGTCAAAAAGACTAAGAAGGGCAACACCAGATCTCATCCTAGCTTTACAATGCTGTAATGATATTGACTTCTAGAGGGCTGTGTTGGTGTAATTGAGGGCACAACTGGTCCAGTGCATGATGTTGGAAAAGGTTTACATCAGAGAAATTTTTGGAATATAGAATTTTAAAATAACCTAATGTCCATTGTTGGAAATATACTTGAAATTAAAATTTTGGTATTCAGAAATTTATTGTTCTCTTTCTTATTTTTTTGACTAAGTAATTTGCTTATGACAAGAAAGTTGTTTCGACAGCACTTCAATATGGCATTAAGAGATGATCAACATGTGAACTTGGAAAAACAGCTAGAAAGAAGGGGAAAAAAAATAGATTGAAATATTATTTAGTATAAGTAGAAATATTTTTGGAGAACAGATGTTATCAATGAAAATGCAAAAAGTCATGAATGATTCCATTAATTTCCTAATATCTATTTATTTTATACTATATCAACAGATGTTAGCTCCGAGTATTACATAAACCATTTGATTGAAAATGTTGTATATGTTGTCCTTTCATACATGAAGAGCTATAAGTGTGTGCAGGATTTCTATATATTCGTGTGATAGAAAATAATGTTCTGTAATAGAATGCTAAAGTGAATAACTCAACAACAGAGTAATTTTGCCAACAGAGGCCACTTTCCATGTACAGGCATTTATGCAGTGCTTATTATTTTAAGTCCTCTAGCAGGACAGCTTTTTAAAATGGAATGAAAGAAAGACATTGGTTAAAAGTTTAAATTCTTCATTCAGTTTTTCAGTTATGAAAGAGTCTAGAAGATCTTTGCAAATGCTGGTAAATTGGTGCTCTACATATTAGCTAATATACTACAGGGTGCACTCTGAGAATTTATTTATACAAAATAAAAATACATGTATTATGTTGACAATGTAATACACACATTTGAAAAGAACCTCAAATTTCTCACTTTCATTTATAAATCATAGAAAGAGCTGTCTCTCTTTTTCTTGTGTCTCAGAAAAAAACACAAATGCATTTTTTTCCTGAGAGCTAGCATTATGTTGGTTCTGCTGTGTCCTGGGTTCAGCAGTAGCAGTCATTTTTTCTGCTTGTCAGTAGCTGGTGCGGTGCTGTGGTTTTGACTTTCAGCCTGGGAACATCACTGATAACACCGATGGTTTTAGTTACTGATCAAATATTTAGTCTGACCAAGGACTTTCTGAGTCTCATGCTCTGCCAGGGAGGAGGGGAAGCCGGGAGGAAGCAGAGACAGGACACCTGACCCAAACTAACCAAAGAGGTATTCCATACCACAGCACGTCATGCCCACTATATAAATTGGGGGCAGTTACCTGGAAGGGTGAGATCACTGCTCATGTCAGGCTTGGTATCAGTCGGCTGGTGGTGAGCGGTTGTATTCTCTTCCTTTGTTATTTCCCTTATCATCATTATTATTGGTGGCAGCAGCAGTGTTTGTGTTATACCTTAGTTACTGGACTGTTCTTATCTCAACCTGTGGGAGTTACATTCTTTCAATTCTCCTCCCCATCCCTCTGGGAGCGGGAGAAGGAAAGGGGGAGGAGTGAGAGAGCGACTGTGTGATTTACGGCTGAGTTTAAACCACAACATGCTGTCTTTATTTTCCTCATAATTATTACTCTGGATTATATTTTAGGTATATTTAATTTTAATTGCTTTGTTCTATTAGGAGAAGATTTAGAGTAAAGCATGCAAAAACAAAGGCAATAGAAAGTGATTTCAATGAACTACAAACTTCAATTTGTACATAGGTCTATCTGGCAAAAGCAGAAGCCAACCTGCTGTTGATATGGCAACACAAGAAACTGCCCCAGGCAGCAGAGTCTGTGTCCCCATTATTTAGATCCTGATTTTTCTCAGATGATTTGTTCTTTACAAGAAGCCCATCTTTGTAGCAGGTCTCTGCTTATAGAAATTTAGGTATGATGTGATTGCCCAGATAGGGAGACAAAGCTGGCAGACAATTTCTCTGTCACGTTTGTTCATGGGTAGCCTGTAAGCCTGCAAGCTTACAGCTGAGACACAGTTGTCTACTTTCCCAGCTAGCTTCAGAAAGCACTTTATTTTTTTCACAGTTACATGAACACAGTTTTTCATATATGTGATTCTTACAGAAAGCCCTTTCTCCTGTGTGAGTCTCTCACACATTTTGCCTTTATTATTTTTGCAAGAGGTTTGCCCTCAAGAGAAGTAAATTGACCGAAAACAGATCAACTAAAGCCAGATGCATGAAAACTTGGTTTGCTGCTTGCCCCTGTGAAGGTCAGTGACAATCATAGTGCTTGGGAGAGTAGATTCCCAGGCAGGCCATTGGGTGATAATTCTTCTGTGCACTTCTTTCCCACAGTTTATGAAGCTGATTCAAAGCCCACAGAATCACCGGAAACATTGCAGTTATCTCCTCCATGTCTTAGGTCAAGTCTTTCAAGTCTCAAAGCAAAACCATTTCTGGCGAGTACAGGTTATTTCATTAGAATGCTTGTGTTTCTTGTAAACTGTGAGGGTATTTTATTGTTTCATACAGCATGATCTAGCAAACAAGTAACAGTGGGAATGTGGTAGAAAGATTTTCAGAACTACCTGATGCTCCTGCCATTTTTCCTGAGCTTATGACCCTCAGCTGTGACAAGGAGACAGCTGACTGCCTCCTGCTCTGTTTATCTTTACCATTTCTTCTGCCTTCATCGCACTTGTTCTTAGATAATATAAAAACTATGAAGTCTTCATCATTTAGAATTTGTGCTTGTTGGGGTTTTCCTGTAATTTCTGTAGTACTGCTCTAGCATCAGTATAGCATTAGATACGTTGGGCAGGCTGTCATTTTTTTATTGTTTGTCTGGATCTAAATTGTGGAAAACTGCAAATCTGACAGGAACAGGCACTTTTCTCTCCCTCTTCTCGTCGCTGATGATGCTGTTAAGACATGAACAGAAGAATTTCAGAAAACTGCTACTGGGGATTTTTCAAGTCGCTTTACTGTAAAGCTACTGGCAGGAGAAAAAGGAAGGAATCAAGGCAGGAGAATTTTCTGTTTACCCTCAGATACAGATATTTTTAATCCAAATGCACATTTGTGTTGTTAGTTTGCACTAACCACTTTCCTTTAGAGAGGAAAGATAGAACTCCCCCTTGAGCACAAATGAAATGATTGGTTTGAATAACATTTATTTAGTGATACAGCTATTGTAGCCATGATGCTGTCAGAAAATGTGGCAGGGCAAAATTTCTAGGTAAACTGGTATCTTTTATTAGATTAGTTGGTCTAGCTAGTTAGTACAGATAGAAAAAGTACTCAAACTTGTGGGCACACAAGCTTTTCTCCAGATTTGAAAATGCAATCTTACTTGTGTATCCAAGTATCCAAGAACTGCCCTTTGGCCACACTGACATAGTCCTTGAGGTTTAGAATATTTATATTTCCCCTAAGTCTGCTGTTTAATTTTCAGTCTGTGACTGGTTCTGAAGCACTATATAGGTTTCCTCTCTGAAAGACAGGCTTACTATCTTATGTAGTCAAAATAAAGCCCTGACATGGCAGTACAACCACTTGAACATGCACAGTCCAAATATTTTTTTTGCTGAATTTCTTCTTGGGACTTCTGCAGAGTTCAGTGGTGTTAGAAACAGCTTCTTCTCAGGTGCAGTGTGTTCTTTTAATAGGTTCAGGGAGAAAATTCCTAGCTTTTCATTTTTTAATACGTTGTGTAGGTATTTATCTCGACAGAAAATTCAGGGTTTTGGAGAGGACACATTGTTCAGCTCATAATGGTGGGGTGTTTAGACAGACTAATAATATAGGTGAGCAGAATGCTTCCCTCAGTCCCTGAACTGGATGGTGCTGTGATTTTTCCCTTGACACACTGCTTTTTGTAATCTGTTTTGTCTTATACATGTTTTAAAGGTAGAAGTTGTCCACACTGGCTCAAAATCTCAAAAGTAATAGTTATGCTGTTACAATGACTGCTATCCACTTGGCTGCAGAAAACAGGTGAGGGTGCACAATATACAAGATTCTTGAATTTGCTATTCCTTAGGTTCTCTTAGAGTAGAAGAAATATTATAGCTCTGCTTTTTTTGAAAGGAAACTTAATTGCTTGTTCTTGTTTTTCCAATTTTTGCAGGAGCTCTCCCAGAGGAAAAGCATGGATTGCATCAAATTCCATCTGACCCAGTTGTGATAACCATCTTGCAGACACTCATGGCAAAAAACAAGGGTTAGGGACTAAGACCTTAGGGAATGCACTTGAAATGCTGCCAGTTTATTCAGTTGCCTCCCACCCCTAAATTAAATGACAATCTTGTCAATCAAGAAGCTAGATAGTACAGCAGCACAGTAAAATGCAGTCCAGAAAAGAAGTGTTACCATGGTAAGAAACTGATAAATCTATATTAGAATATTTGTTTTGCACAGGGCAGCAATTCTTTTTGCTTCCTTTATAGCAATGCTTTTACACAGGAGCAGAGGGACAAATGACAGTTTTTGAGTCATCTGATCTAGTCCTCCAAACCACTAATTTTCAAGACCTGAAGAAAGGTGAAAGCACTGTACTCCAAGGTTTGGATACTGGTTCCCACCAGAAGATGGGATGAGTTGCAGGGAAGACACCTGTTCTCTCAGACTGAAAGACAGTTCCGAGCGTTAAAGACAAGAGACACAAGCCTCCTCCTTTCAAAAATATATTTTCTTTGAAAAAACCCCATGAACCCAAAAAAAACCCAAGCCAACCAAATAGACAAAACCAAACCCTTTTTATGTTTCATACTCAAATAATTTTTCAAAAATTCAGAAAGTGTCCAAGTGCCTATTATTCTAGGTTCTGGGGGAGTAAAGCAGGGCTTTAAAAGACTCCTTTTAAGGAACTCCAAAATTATTATGAAAGTCTTCACTGTCACTGCTTTCTGATGCTGAAAAGGAACTAGAATGTAGCTGCTTTACAGAAGTCTGAAATCCCTTATTTGGGTAGGCCTTGAACAGATTTGGAGTCTTAGTTGGCACCTATTAAAAAAATTGAGAGCAGAGTTAGAAACTTGACACAGATAGAAGTTTTTAAGGTTTTCAGGATTTCCTATATGCAGTTGAAGCAGGAAAGAAATGTCAGTTCCCATTTTCCACAGTGAATAGGAAGCAAAGTTACCTTTCTCTTCTTTGATGTTTAAATTAGCTGTATCCTTTGACCTAGTTCCTGTTCAGGTTGCCCTTCATTTCAAAAAGTAGTTATTCCTTTGTAATTCCAATTAAAATCTAGAATATATTCTGTTCAATGCAAATTTATAATTAGAAAAAAAGCTCATCTTCACTAGATAGATTATAACAGTCTCTGAAACTGAGTTCTCTTTTAAAGAAGAAAAAGCGAAAAATAATATTAATGTCTGCTTTTATTTTTTCTATAACAGATTTCAATAAAATGAATTGTAAAGTAATGGATCATTCCATTGGTAAGAAAGGAGAAAAGAGATGATATGAGTTTAAAATTGGTACATAAGGAAATTGATAGCAACATTCAGTTATCTTTATTACCTAAACAGAGACTCAAATTTTTGTGCTAGGATATTTTAGATCTAGAAGTGCCATGTGAAAATTGAAAATTTTCACTCATTTAATGGAAGAACTGTGATTTTGGTGTCTGGATATCTTCCTGCTCATTCTTGTGAAGAATAGACAGATAGGCATAGTTCTCTTAAGCTAAACCAGGTGGTAACTGAAGTAGGTGAAGTTGAACCTGTTTGCAATGGGTTCTTGTCCTGTGTATTCCCAGGTAATGGGAAAGCTGACAGAATCATGTATATTTGCCTTTGATATCTGGTGAATGTCAAGAACAGTTCACAAAAAAACCCAAAACAAACAAACCACAAAACACACACACACACAAAAAAACCCAAACCAAAACCTACTAAAAAAAGCCCAATTCTTTACCGAATGGAAAAATCAAGGTTCTTTTATAAAAGCATTAAGGTGATTATGAAACAAAATATGATCTAAATAGACTGTAAGAATTGTCTGTCTAAGTTTCAGTATCTTAGAACTAACCCAGACAATGAAATAAACATGTGAATTGCATTGGTTGTTTTTCAATAAAATAGGCATCAAACTAAAGAAGCCTCAACACAGGCTCCTATTTTTGTAAGGCAAAGGCCTAAAAAGAACTACAGCATGACAGCATAAGCAGTGTGAATTTTAAACTTATAATTGTGTATTGTAATTAAACAATACAAACTCAGAAATCTTATATCCCAAGTCCTGTGCTCACTAAAGAATATAGGGCCAACTTAAAGGAAGATGTGAAGTGCAAAACCTAAAGATTTGCTTAACAAGCAAAAAGACTTTTCTCATAAAAAAACAGGTTTTTCTGTTGAATGCTTCTCTCAGATAGATGGTCAAAAATCTCAGGACAAGCCTGATTCCTGCTGAATGTGATAAAGAAATGCTGCTTGCTGTTGCAAAAGTTAAGACCTAATAAGCTCTTAGAGAATTTCTGTTTCCTGGACCTGATATATTGTACCTGGGGTATCCAGCTGAAGGCTGGACATATGAAAAATAACAATCTTATCAGCAAAAATATTTACACTTAGGGTAAAAATTCTCAGAACAGCAGAGATTTAACTAATGATTTTTTGCCCAAACACTCCTGGGAACTGTTTTTTATATGTGAATGAAAAACTCAGATGGCAGCAGGTGACAGTAAACAAATACAAATGCTCTCAAAGCATAGCTGGAAATTAATTTTTTCCCATATTATGATTGAAAGTGTCCAGAGAGCACTTTACTGCTGACACTAAAATGACTCCCTGGATAAAGGTGGAAAGATACTATTTTTTTATCAAGCTTCCAAATTGCATCTTTAAATGAGAATGTTTATACAAAATTATTCGGGAAAACAACATCACAAAAAGATCTGCACTGGTCAAAAGAGCTAATTTAGAATCATAGAATCATAGAATACTTAGGGTTGAAAAGGACCTTAAGATCATCTAGTTCCAACACCCCTGCCATGGGCAGGGACACCTCACAGTAAACAATCTCACACCAGGCTCTGTCTAACCTGGCCTGGAACACCACCAGGGATGGAGCACTCACAACTTCTCTGGGCAACCCATTCCAGTGCCTCACTGCCGTCATAGTTAAGAACTTATTCCTTATATCCAATCTAAACTTCCCCTGTTTCAGTTTTAACCCATTACCACTTGTTCTATCGCTACAGTCCCTAGTGAAGAGTCCCTCCCCAGCATCCCTATAGGCCCCCTTCAGATACTGGAAGGCTGCTATCAGGTCTCCACACAGCCTTCTCTTCTCCAGGCTGAACAGCACCAACTTCCTCAGCCTGTCTTCATACGGGAGGTGCTTCAGTCCCCTGATCATCCTCATGGCCCTCCTCTGGACTTGTTCCAACACTTCCATGTCCTTCTTATGTTGAGGACACCAGAACTGCACACAATACTCCAAGTGAGGTCTCATAAGAGCAGAGTAGAGGGGCAGGATCACCTCCTTCCACCTGCTGGTCACGCACCTTTTGATGCAGCACACGATGCAATTGGCTTTCTGGGCTGCAAGAGCAGGCTGAAGCTGCCTCATGTTCATTTTCTCATCGACCAACAGCCCTAAGTTCTCTGCAGGGCTGCTCTCAATCACTTCTCTGCCCAACCTGTAGCTGTGCCTGGGATTGCTCCAACCCAGGTGTAGGACCTTGCACTTGGCATGGTTAAAATTCATGAGGTTGGCATCAGCCCACCTCACAAGTGTGTCGAGGTCCCTCTGGATGACATTCCTTCCCTCCAGCGTATCAACCGAACCACACAGCTTGGTGTCATTGGCAAACTTGCTGAGGGCGCACTCAATCCCACCACTCGTTACTGGTCTCCAGCAGGACATTGTGCCGTTGACCATAACTCTTTGTTTGCAGCCATCCAGCCAGTTCTTTATCCGCAGAGTGGTCCATCCATCAAATTGATGTCTCTCTAATTTAGAGACAAGGATGTTGTGTGGGACAGTGTCGAACACTTTGCACAAGTCCAGGTAGATGACATCAACTGCTCTACCCCTGTCCATCATGTTAAAAGTGGATATCATAGGCAAAGCCTCCTGTAGATTACAAAGAGTTCAGGGAGAGCTCAATTACAAAAGAACATGGCGACTGTAGACTTTTTGTTCCTTCTGACTTATTGGATATGGAGGAGTAGGGAACACTGACTTATCATTGCCATCATTAAATAACACTTTTTTTTCTTTTAAAAGCAAAGACGAAGCTGAAAAAAAACCACCCTAACAAGTAGTTACAATTAAAATTTAAACGTATAAGGGAAATCTGTTCCCTTTTATACATGAAAAAAAAATGTATCTGTTTTGTGGTACCTAATAACACATGAATCAATAATTTGGAAAGCTTTGATATTTGAAATAAAGATGATCCTAGCCAGAACCTGAAATCTTTACTTAATTTTCCCTAGAAATAAATGTACATTCATGCCTTGGCATGCCAAATGGGTAAAAAGCTGTGGGGGAGGAGAGAGGGAGAGAGGGCATAGAGGGAAACAGAGAGGAAGAGGCAGAGAGGATGAGGTGTGCATAAAGGGAGATCAAAATTCGGGGTAAAATTGCATAGGTTTATGCCTGACCTGTTTCAGAACCGCAAACCTCATTCAGTTTGTGTGGCCCATAAATTTACCAAGTACAATGAAAAGCAGTCTAGTGAAACTACTTGTTAAGTGTTTCTAAAGAACAGACAGAAGTCATTAGTCTTTTCTTTACTTCAGCATGATTTCCCAAATTGGCACAAGAGCCTTTGTGAGTGGAAGAACAATTGGTAATTTCTTAAAGAATACTAACTTTCCCTTAAAAATAAAAAAGAAAAAAAAGGAGAGAGAGAGAGCAAGATAGGGGGGAAGTTTTAATCTCCAGTGATTTACAGAAAACATAACAGAGGGAAACACAAAAGCCTGTGTCCTTGGATCTGGATCTAGATAAGTGTGATATGAAGATTAAAAAATAAAAACCCCACAACAATGTATTTTCCACTTCCTTAAACAGTGTTTATGAAGTCTTCTTTCATCTCTTCATATAAACACACCCTGTTAGACTCCAACCGCCAACATCTCACCCCCTGAATTTATGAAATTTTATACTCTAGAAACAGTCATCATATTTAGCCATGAGAGCTGCAAATATTGGACCAGGTGCATGACACATGGTTAAGCTATCACACTTCATAGCATAACTTTTGTATATACAAACCCCCTTTATCTCAGAAGGAATAGTGTGATAAGATTAAATGTCCTTTGCTGAGGTCTACAAAAGGTGTTTTTTCCTCAGCTTATGCAGTACTCCAGGACTTGGCCCTCATGGCCTTAGGTATTTAGACAGTAACCCTTTCTCTTTGGTTTAACTATTTAACATAAAAGTTTTAGACAATAATCATAAAATCATAAAACCATAGAATGGTTAGGGTTACAAGATCATCTAGTTGCAACTTTTCACAAATACGGACGTCTCACACTAGACCATGTTGCCCAAGGCTCTGTCCAGCCTGGCCTTGAACACTGCCAAGGATGGAGCATTTACCACTTCAATTGGGCAACCTCTTCCAGTGCTTCATCACCTTCACAGTAAAGAACTTCTTCCTTATAGCTAACCTGAACTTCTCCCATTTAAGTTTAAGCCCATTACCTCTTGTCCTATCACTGCAGTCCCTGATGATAGTCCCTCTCCAGCATCCTTGTAGGCCCCCTTCAGACACTGGAAGTCTGCTATGACTTGCTATGACTCTCCACGCAGCCTTCTCTTCTCCAGGCTGAACAGCCCCAACTTTCTCAGCCTGTCTTCATACAAGAGGTGCTCCCAGACCCCTGATCATCCTCATGGCCCTCCTCTGGACTTGCTCCAACAACCCCATGTCCTTATGTTGAGGACACCACAACTGCTCACAGTACTCCAGGTGGGGTCTCGCTAGTGCAGAGAGGCAGGATCACCTCCTTCAACCTGCTGCTGACACTCTTTTTGATGCAGCCCAGGATACGGTTGGCTTTCTGGGCTGTGAGCACATGCTGAAGCTAGCTCATGTTCAGTTACTCATCGACCAACACCCCCAAGTCCTTCTCTTCGTGCCTGCTCTAAATCACTTTTCTGCCCAACCTGTAGCTGTGCCTGAGACAAGAATATTTAGTTATTGTTATTCTCTAGCAGTTATGCAATCAGGCATCAATTTCAGAGTTCACAGAAAAGGTCTAAGGACATTATTACTAACATAGGTCATTGACTGATCAATGACATGGTAGATACTGATGTGATTTGTAGCACATGATACTTGTTCTCTAAATTACAGCAGGGCATTGGGTACGTTAGATGAAGATTTTTAACGAAGTTACCCCAAGCTGTATTGTTTCAAAAACTATTGGCTTTGAAAGGAAAAGAGTATCTTGTTTCAGAGCAAGTCAGTATTATTGTTTTGGTTGTTCTTCAGATGCCTGAGGCATATTATGGCATGGTTACTTTTGCCACAGGGATGGAATGTCTATTCTGCAGATTACAGGCCTCTAGATTTTCATTTGAAAAACAACTGAAACTATGCATAGAATTTTACATCATTCACATCATTCACATTGGTCAAACTGTTTCATTACAATGTACACTGCGTGACTGTGATTGCAAAAGACACTTTTAAGGGCTTATTCTTATTTCTAATACCCTAGCCACTATACCGTAACATATATGGATTATGCATAAGTTTTATATAAACATATAGGTATGTATGTACCTAGACATATTGTTGTATACATGAAAAAAATGCACTCACAAATATATAATTAATATATTTATATTATATATGTTTGCTTTAGAATTACACACACATAAGCATAATATTTTCAAACGCAATGACCTAATCCACTAACTTTATTTAAATAAAACTTGTTTTATTCTAGGTACAAAATGACCTTTTCCCTGATGGAAGACTGAAGATTCGCATAGATAATAAATATTTATTAGATGTGAATGTTAAAAGGAAGATACAATTCTTAGAATATCCAGAGTTCTAATATTCAAGGTGTTATTGAATCTCTAAATGCATCAAACACCACCAATACAAACTCATAGACTGGATTTTTGGAGGGTGTTTATTTCAAAAATTCTTATGTAGTAAAAAGGTTTATGAATGCAATGGAAAGACTTTCTGGAATAGAAAGTTGTGAAAATTAAATTTTCTGTGTCTTTATTTCAACTTTATCATTAGTTTTACTTCGTTTCCTATTTTTGCTGATCCTTGATTAAGAATGATACTGTGAAGATGTAGTCTGCATGGCAGTGCAGTCACAGTGCCACCTGAGAAAGTTCCACAAAAATTTTAAGTGCTCTCCCCTCCTTGTGTCTTGGCAGCCTTTAAGGAATTGAACCCATTCATGGTCACAACTTCTCTCCATCTCAAGAAACTGTTGTCCTTTGTTTTTGTGAAGAATGGCACAACTGATTGAAAAATTTCCCGTTCCAGGTTTATACAGGCTAACTACGTTATTCACTTTGTTCCTTGAAAACAATGCATTACTCATAATGATGCTTGCAAATCTGCTTTGATCTTCATTCAGGTGATGAAGTATATGCAGCTGTGAACAATCTGTCATTTAGCTTCAAAATAATCTCGCATTAAGTAATACTTTACAGGGGTTTACTAACAAAAGTTATAGATGATTTTGATCAAGATAATCTCTGTTAACAGGTAGTCTGTTTATTACACAGTATTTTTCCCTTTTGTAGTATGTTGTTTTATTCTTTCCTTGCACCAGGTGCATTAAATTGAATACAGAGTACTTGCATTTGGTATAAATACAGAAAAACCCTGCTTTACTGTATTCTTCCTGAGCTAGTCCAGCCTTATTTAAACATATATTTTTTAGTCAACCATCTTCCACTGTCAGCTTTGCAGAAAGGATTGTCTGTATTGCTGCTTCATGTCATGTTAGTGCAATGTGAGACTAATTAATGACTGGATACTCATGGTGTAACCATACACAAGAATTCGAAAAGCTTTTGTGTGTAGGTTTTTTTGTTTTGGTGGTTTTTTTGTGTTTTTTTTTTTTTTTAACAATAGGGGAAAGACTAAGCCAATACCCCATAAATTTAAAATATTCCTTGCTTCTGAAGAAAGGAGAAAATATCTGAGTTACAAAGAGAATGCTATTACATTTTTATTTTTAAAAAACCTTAATATATGCCAAAAACTGCAAGTGATCAGTGTATTATGGTGTAATCAAAGGTTTTCTTCAGAAGGAGGGAAAACCCTTTGAAGGCTAAACTCAGTAAGATGATGCTCCACACTATTGAAGACCATATTATTTGATAGCTGATTATAACCTTCTTTCCCCAAATCTGAGTGCATATTAGAAATTATGGATTTTCTGGCTTTATACATGCTTGAATGCATTGGACATGAATGAAAAATATTTTAATCATTCATGATGTTCAGAAGACAAAACTTGCATTTTGTTGAAATACCTTAGCTTCCCTCTGTCCTCCTAACCCCTTGCTGAGACTGAAATTTCTGTGCTATGTTCCAAGTAAAAAGAGCAGTAGAATATTTTCTTGCCAAAACCCAAGAATAGCACTTTTCTCTTCAACCTTTTAACTTCAGCCCTATTACTTCTTTTAAATGTGAATATTCTCATTTAATTGGACTAATACCTGCATGTATTATATGCTTACATTTTACCATTAACGTTATTATTACTATGACTAAATAAAAATCCTCTATGAATTTTCCACTGTTTTTCAATGGGAAATGATTTGTGATTTGCTTTTGAAAATATTTGCTGTCTGTGAAAACATCCCATTATCAAACTGGAAAAGTTAACATAGGGAAATGCCTGGCTCCTGTTTGAGCTGAAGCTTAGGTAACCATGCTGACTTTTCTATGTGTTGGGCTTCCCATCCTGATTTCACTGTTCACCTAGTGGCCTTGAGACCAGCAGAACCTTTTTCCTAAGAAGGGAGACTACTCTGAAGATGAAATCCAAGCTGTCTTTAGGAAAAAAAAAGTGGGAATGTTTAACCTCTGACTACAAATGCTATGTAGAACACCATAAAGCTTCCAAATTGAAAAGTATTGCTTTGGGGCTTTCCATCTCAAATAAACAGGGACAGAGAGAAGCACACCCTTCCCTCCTCTCCTCACACCCCCAAAATCATCTCAGAGATAATAATATCACATTTTATTCCCAGCAGCATTGTTAAACGTTGTCTGGGGAGAATGGGTGAAAGTCTCTTAGTTTTTGCCTATCACCTCCAGAACAGTCTGGTAATTCCTGTTGATTGCATTCTGCAACCATTAGTGTAAATGTTAGTCCCACATCTTTGTAGAGAACATGCCAGTCCCTGTTCTCAGTCTATGTGGGAAGAGTGATATTTAATCTGGTTCCCTCAAGGACCAAAGGGCATAAAACATAAGCAGATGAAGGGTACTGGAGAGACAGCTAAGAAACTTTTGATTCATAAGCCAAGCCTATATGAGATAGGTTAAGGAAAAAATAATACAGGCAGAAGGCACAAGTCTGTTTTTTTCAGAGACTTGTCAAAGCAGAACACAGTAATGGATGTTACCAAGTCATTTCCTATGTTTCTGTGACTAGGACTTATTACGACACCAAGGTTATATTAAATCTCTTATCTGTGTACACAGAGGTGCCTGGTTTTAACGCTCGTGTGGTTTCTGCCCTTCTCACACCTTGTAAATGCACATGAGGAAGAGCCTTATATTCCTTGAATTTTCTGCTTCAGCAATCTTCACAAGGGTTAGGTCTTGCTTGAGTTCCGAGTTGGACACTAATTGCTGTTCAGCTATCCTGAGGCTGAGCAAAGTAAACTATGGCACCATGTTTCTTTGACATATGTAGAGCCATTCAGTTAGCTATAGATGAACTGGCCACAGAGCACTCAGGCATGACATAACCTGCATTGTGCTCTAAGCATGCAAATGAAAGAGTTCTTGCCTGCGAGATCTAGTTGCTCCAGATTGCTCATTCTTCATTAGTTTTGCTCTGCTGTGCTTTCACCATCAGCTGACTCAAGCAAACATTACAGCTGTATTCCCCCCACACACTCACCCCTAAGAAGCTGGAGTGAAAAAAGGGGGAGTAGTTCAGTTACTAGCACAGATCCAGATTACATCTGGGCATTCATGTTTAGAATGTTATTGCCTTCTTCAGCATTTTAGATTCATCACTTGCTTTCTGATGGACCTGATATAGTCAATTTCCAATGTAGAGAGTAGTAGTTCTACTGGGAAGTACTACTGCATGACAAACAATTAGAGTAAGGCTTATATTTTTCAAGTGCTTGGTTTTGTTCAACTGAGTGCATGTCTTTCCTTTTTTTTCCCTTTTTTTCTTTTTTTTTGTATTTTCAACTGGGAAGTTTTCTCCCATAAAATGGAAGATGAAAGTTTCTGGTAAACTACTATCTCTTGTTCTCTGTGCATAAATTTATCTGATGTTCTAACTTATACTTCATGAGCAATAGTGAGTAAGTATTTTACAGCTGTGTCTGGACCACAGTGATAATGATCTCTTCTTGTGAAGGTATCTCTTGCAAGACAGCTGCTCTCCTTCACTGTGAAATCTGTCATACACTCCTTTTCAGCTACATCCACTGTATGATTAATGTCTGGTGCCTGACAATAAAGCTTACATTTTGGACACACACCCTTCTTACTATCTTTCTTTGCTTTAAAATATGTTGGCTAGTACTACCTAAAATCTCAGTTGCTTTTTTACAATCTCTTGTGCTATTTACCTTACAATCTGCATTTATCTTACTTTTTAGTAAAAATTGTCCATGTCCTTCTTTTCTGCTTCTTTATGCCACCTGTCTGCTAGACTTCCTGTCAGTTGGACATTTGGAACTTCCTTCCGTTTCCAGTCAGTCTATTAGAATCATAGGGTCACAGAATCATTTAGGTTGGTAAAGACCTTTAAGATCACTGAGTCCAGCAATTGCTTTATTTTAATTTGTCAGCTGAGGCAAAGCAGACAAGTGAAGAGTTAGCATCAGCTGTTCTGTTCTTGCTCTTATATGCAGAGCTTGTCAGGAAGCTCTGCATATAAATTTAAGTTCCTTAAATAACATTTTTAATTTTTTGTTGTTATGTATCCCTGTTTTCTACCACTTTTGATGTCTATTAGCACAGCTCATTTTCCTTTTCAGTGACTTTTCTATTAACAAAAGAATATATAGTGGAAGTCTAGTATAGCCATTATACAGCAGCAACCAGTTGCTACTGAGGGGTTAAAACCTGCCCATTATCACTTTATGTTCAGCGTTTACACTAAAGTCCCCATTCTCTGGGATCAAATGCCAAATGAATAAGTACACTTTTGTCTCATATATGTCCACAGTTATGAAAAAGAAGTTGTTTGAAACATGACGTTATTGTAGAAGCAAAGAAGTCAGAAAAAAAGGTTAGAGATTTCAGTGTTTTGTAGTTTCTTTACTTTTAGAGATCTCGGGATTTGTGAAGGTAACTGTCTATACTGTGTCCTTGACAGAGGTTTCTGGGGGTCAGTTAGCAATCCAGCACAGCAAATGACTGTCTGTGACTGTTCCTGAAACTGCTGCCTGTGGTCTTCAAAGAATAAAATATCAAGGTATGTAAATAAATTATAGGAGCTAAAGGCCTAGATTAAACAAACACAAAACTAACAAAACACCCAAAACCCACAAAACTTTTATGAGTGGCAGGGCCTTTTCACTCTGCATTCTCCTGAATGCTTGATTAAAAGAGCAGCTGGGGCCTCAGAAACTTGCCATGTATTTTCCTTCCCTTCCCTTGTTCTCTATTAATGAAAATATTTAGATAAAAAGGGATCCTTGTTTCCTAACATTTCATCCTCCTCTGCTGTTTATTCTCTACCTGGTGTCATAGTCCTCTGAGTTTTGGCAGCGTAATAATTTCCACAGCAGTCCTGCTGTGTTGTCCCAAATAGAAGATTAGGATTTCAGATTTTTAATAAGTAGAAACAGAAAGGTGAATACTTAAACAAAGACTTTGTCTTCAAGTAAATATCCTTAGTAATGTACAACAAGGAGAGAAAAATAAGGGAAATCTCTAATACCTCGACAGAACTGTATAAGAACAGTATAGCTTTTTCAATCTTTTCTACACACTCCCCAGTGGACTTCAGGAATGCTGTCGCCTTTCATCTTTGTCCTCTGTTAGAAAGCTGTTTCTATACTTTTTGGGCAGAAGAAAGCCCTTGGCAAAGTTTCA